CTGGGATGGCTGGTGTAGGCGAAGGTGGGTCAGAAAGGGTTCAGGGCCAGGGGGAGTGAGGGCATGGAGGTATGATGGGGCGAGGGATGGATGGGGAAAGCTCCACGGCTCGCAGACGGCGGCGCGGCCACGGGGTTGGCCGTCTTTCCTATCCGGCGTTGGACGCGTGGCGCTGTGAGTGGCGGGCCCCTCCGACGCGGCCCCGGCCCCCCTCGCGCCTCGGCGCACACTTCGCGCGCCGCCGTGCAGGGAGGGCAGGGAGGGCGGGACGGGCGGCGGAAAGGAACACGGGGCGGGCGGTGCTGGCCAGCAGCTGCTCCTCTCACCGAAGGGAAGGGGGGAAGCTCGCCAAGAGCGGCAGCGCCTGTTTCGCCCTACAGTCAACCCGCATGTAAGGATGGGCAACCTTCCCAAGGGTTATGGTGTTCCAACCTACTTTAGCCTTGATCACCAGAAAGAATCTCGAGCACCAAGGAAGTACCGAAACATGAGGGTTTTCACGCGTCGGGCCCTGGGAGGCGACACTCGTTCGACACTGCTTCGATACTTTTCTGGGTGCTCGAAGCTGTTTCTGGGATGTGGTCCTCAAGTACGATGGGAGCAGCTCAACAACCCAAGGGGGCCCTTGCATTCTTGCCTCCTCGGTCCATGCTTGGCCACCTTCGCTGGCCGCGCCCCGCTCGAGAAGAAGCTTCGAGAGGGGCGTCCAAGGCCCATGCATCCCTCGCGCGCGTCCTTGCGATACGGGCTGGCCGCAGACAGGCGGGGGCGCCAGGTCGGCCGCAGAGGCGCGGCAGGGCAGCGGCGCCTCGCGCGCCGCGGGCGGGGCCGCCGAGCTGCCCGCTCGCCGGGAGGCGGCGCGAGGGCGCGACGACGACGGCGCGTCGTGCCTCGCAGGGCGCGGCGCGCGCAGCTCGGTGACCCGGGGTTGGCGGGGGCTTCTTCCAGAGGGCGCCCCGAACGTGACCGTGGTGGTGCGGGGAGTCCGCCCGGGTCCGTGGCGCCCCGAACGCGGCCATGGTGCGGGGAGTCCGCCCCCGGTCCGTGGCCCCGCGCAGGGCCCCGTGTGCCTTGGCGTCGACGTCGTGATCCTGTTTCGTTTGGTCGAGGGCGCAGTTCTGATGCGCAGCTGCGCGCTGACTTCGCGGATGGAGTCCTGGAGATCACGCGTGCGGCCGATGAGGACGAACGTGCTTCGATGTTGACGGTCTGTTCCGACGAGCGCAGCCTGCTGGCCCCTGCTCTGCGCCTGGATATACCTCGGCCCTTTGACTCCTCCTGGGTTGCAGCTGTGATCGTTGCTGGTGCTTCGAGGACGATACATTCGGGGAACAAAAAGTGGCATAAGCATAAAAACTCGCAGGTCCGCGCGGATTTCTCGGATCAGCGCTGGGGCCCCCCGGCGGCGCCTCCGGCGCCGCCCCTGGTGCGCTCCGCGCGCCAGGGAGGGGGGTCCAGCGCCGATCCGAGAACTCCGCGCGGACCTCCGAGTTTTTAATTTTATGTTATTTTTTGTTCCCCGATATATGGCGAGTCAGTGAGATCTTCATCCCGGGTGCCACCTGTGCACACTCGTCGCCTTCTTCTCCTGCATCACGTCTGGCCCCGTGTGCCCGCCCCTCCCTCCCTGCCCTCCTCCTCCCTTCCTCCTCCTCCTCCTCCTCTTCCTCCTCCTCCTCCTCCTGAACGAAAGAGCGTTGCGGCTGGGGATGAACTCCTCCTCCTCCTCCTCCTCCTCCTCCTCCTCCTCCTCCTTCTCCTCCTCCTCCTCCTCCTCCTCCTCCTCCTCCTCCTTTCCTCCTCCTTTCCTCCGTAGCCATTTTGGCTCAAGCCATTTTGGCTCAAGCCAGCTCCCGCGCGGATGGTTCAAGGGCCCACCTCTGGCGAAAGCCTATCGGCGGCCCTTCGCTCCAGCGCGCGGCGGATGGCGCGGGATGCTGCCCTCGATGGCGGCAAGGCTTCCTCCTCAGCTGCTCGCCGGTCTGCCCGGAAGGCCGCCGCTGCCTCTGCTGAGCGTGCGGTCCATCACTTCCGCGCTGAAGCTGAGGGCTGGCAAAAGAAGTACTACGACCTGGCCTACTCCCTGGGTTCGGACAGGTGCCCTCAGCTGGGTCCTCGGCTGGCGGCCGCGGCGCCTGCGCTGGAGGCACTGCTCTTGGACGAGCCCGTGGAGCACACTGTTGTCCTTCGACGGAACGTTGCCCTGCATTCGGTTGCCGAGGGGATCGACATCGTCACCGCCTCGCCTGCCGAGCTCAACTCTGCGCAACGTGGGCCTCGCTTGGGAGTCAGGCCCCCGTGTATTGTGGCGGCTTCCTTTTCTGCACTTCGGGTATGCGCGGCGCCCTTTGTGCCTGGTGCTGCCGCTCATCATGGGTTTCTTGATGGAGTCAGTTTGTGTCGTGGTGATTTCAAAGATGTTGTCGTTCCTGTTCCTTGTGGTGAAGATGGCCTTGGTGACAATGCCACCGCGGTGGAGGTCTCAATGGACTTGGATGTTGAGCACATCTCCGTGGTCGAGGAGCAGCTGCGCTCTTGGGAGGCTTTGGGTGCCGCGTCCCGCTCCTTTGTGCGCAGGCGTCGGCGCCTTGACGGCGGCATGCGGTTATCATCAGCTCCGATTTCGGAATCTCCCAACACCGCCAGGGGAGGGTACGACTATTCAGGTGACGAGGTCATCGTCGGAGGCCCCTTTCCAGTGCAGTGGGTTCCGCGAGGCCTGCCGCCCGACCCTGGAGAGGGCCGCCTCTTCTCCTGAGATGGCTACGGGTACCCTCATTTTTGTGTTCGTCATTGTCGGCATTTGCTGGTTCTGGGTATTGGCACTTTGCGTCGTATGGCATTGTTGTTTTCTCGTGCGGGGTTCATTTTCCTGGTTCGGCCTCATTAGGTGCGGGCTGTATGGCGTGCAGCTGTCCGACGAGATCTACGGCGTTATTGTGCTGCTCCTCATTTCTGGTTTATTCTGTCAGTGTTTCGGCATGGAGGTGTACTTCAGATGCTGGGAGTTGCCGTTTTCTCTGGGCTATTCCGACTTCTTCGATTTCGGCTACTCCTTCATCACTTTCCTCATTGACTTGGGGTCCTTGAGCGTGGATGTCAAAAAAAAAATCCTCCTCCTTTCCTCCTCCTTTCCTCCTCCTTTCCTTCTCCTTTACTCCTCCTCCTCCTTCTCCTCCTCCTCCTCCTCCTCCTCCTCCTCCTCCTCCTCCTCCTCCTCCCCTCCTCCTCCTCCTCCTCCTCCTCCTCCTCTCCTCCTCCTCCTCCTCCTCATCATCATCATCATCATCATCATCATCATCATCATCATCATCATAATTGTCATCCTCTTCCTCATCCTCCTCTTCCTCGTTGCCATCATCATCATCATCATCATCATCATCATCATCATCATCATCAGCAGCAGCAGCAGCAGCATCGTCATCATCATCATCATCATCATCATCATAATCATCATCATCATCATCATAATAATTGTCATCCTCTTCCTCCTCATCCTCCTCTTCCTCGTTGCCATCATCATCATCATCATCATCATCATCAGCAGCAGCAGCAGCATCGTCATCATCATCATCATCATCATCATCATCATCATCATAATTGTCATCCTCTTCCTCCTCATCCTCCTCCTCTTCCTCGTTGCCATCATCATCATCATCATCATCAGCAGCAGCAGCAGCATCGTCATCGTCATCGTCATCATCATCATCATCATCATCATCATCATCATAGTTGTCATCCTCTTCCTCCTAATCCTCCTCCTCTTCCTCGTTGCCATCATCATCATCATCATCATCATCATAATCATCATCATCATCAGCAGCAGCATCGTCATCATCATCATCAGCAGCATCATCATCACCATCATCTTATCATCATCTCATCATCATCATCAGCATCATCATCATCAGCAGCATCATCATCATCATTGTCAGTATCAGTATCATTATTATTAGCATCATCCTGACCATCGTCATCATCATCAGTAGCATCATCATAATCAACATCATCAGCAGCAGCAGCATCAGCATCATCATCATCATTATCAGCATCGTCATTGTCATCGTCATTGTCATCAGCATCATCATCATCGTCATCTTCGGCATCTTCGGCATCATCGTCAGCATCGTCTCGTCATCAGAAGCACCACCACCAGCATTATCATTATCGTCATCATCAGCATCATCATAAACAGCATCATCAGCATCTTCCTCATCAGCATCGGCATCAGCATCATCAGCATCATCATCATCAGCATCATCATCATCATCATAATCAGCATCATCATCATCATCATCTTCATCTTCTTCATCATCATCATCATCATCATCATCATCCCACTCGTCCCCATTGTCTCATCTTTCTCATCGTCATCCCCGTCCTCCTCGTCCATCTGCTCAGGTTGGTCCCTGGGCGCCTCCCGGGGTCAAGCCTGGCCAATTTCCCGAGACACATCCAGCCCTGGCAATGAGGGGCGCTCAGGGGACCCAAAAAGGCTCGAACCTCGATCGTCGAACCTCCTCGTTCTCTTCCTCCTCCTCCTCCTTCTCCTCCTCCTCCTCCTCCTCATCCTCTTTCTCCTTCTCCTTCTCCTCCTCCTCCTCCTTCTCCCTTCCTTCTCCTTCTTCTCCTCCTCCTCCTTGTTTTTCTCATCATCAGCAGCAGCAGCATCATCATCACCATCGTCATCATCATCAGCAGCAGCAGCATCATCCCACACCGCCCTCCCCCTCCTCCAGCGTACCCTACTGACGCAGCCTCCTCTCTCAGGGGCTCGGGCTGGACTTCTCGGTCGAGCAGATACAGATGATCCGCGTGGCTGCGCCGCTCAAGTGCCGACAGCCAACTGCAACAGAAGGAAGGAGGAGGAGCAAGGAGGAGAAGGAGGAGGAGGAGGAGGGGGAGGAGGAAGATGAGGTGGTGGACGAGGTGGTGGAGGTTCACCCAGACCACACCCAGAGTGGATGGAGAAATCTCTTGAGTGGGCAGTCGAAGCCTCCTCTTTGCACGTCGTGGAGCCCCGCCGGAATGGCTTCCTGACACGGCCTGACACTGCCTCCAGAAACCTCTGGAAACATCCGAGAAGCCTCCCATGATCTGTTGAAGCCTTCCGAAACGTCCGGGGGCTGTTGAACGCCGTCCGAGACCCTTTCCGAACTTCCGATTGGCTGGCGAACCTCCATCCATCCTCTTCCCTCCCTCCCTCCCTCGCTTCGAGGAAGAAAGTAAAACACGTAGACCTAAACTTTCGGAGGTCCGCGCGGACCTCCGAAGTTTATTCAAGAGGCTTACGCCATGCCGCCGACCCCCAGACGAAGTGAGGCTTTGTGGGCTTCTTGGTGGGCGTCGTGAAGCCTCGTCAGAATTTCCTGGGTGCTTGCTGGCTGTTTCTTGGACTCCGTCGCGCGCATTGGATACCTTCAACTGTCGGAGTGCATCGGAGGAGTGGCCGCCGCGCAATCGCTACTCCGCGCATGTGGCTTCCTTTCCTCATCATGCGCCTCTCGGGAGAGAGTGCTGAAATATGTTGCGCGTCGCGCATGAAGCGAGATGCTACCGGAGTGACGTTGCGGATGGCCGATAGAACCTCAGAAAAAGAGATCCAGCGAAAAGAGGGCGTTGCCATAGATTTGGTGCAACCGATTTGTGAGGTTGCAATCAATTTGGAGCGTGCAACACGGTCTGGTGCGCAAATGTTTTGCTGGATGTTCGCGTGCAGTAACATTCGTTGCAAGACAATGTAATATAATTCTGCGGCATAATACTTAGGTCAACCAAAATCTTCGCATGTGGAGATTGATTGAGGAAGAGGAAAAGGGGTGAAATAGCTAACGACAACCATGAGAGGCAGGAGGAAAGGAGGAAGATACCGAGGACAACGGGACGGTTTGTAATGTTGTCTGGGCTCTGTTTGCTGCCTCCCTCGTGCAAGTGGGGGGGCGTTTGCTCGGGAGCCTCCGGGGGATCCGAGTGAAGCAGTTTGGCAGCCTCCTGGAGGGGCTTCTGAGGGCATCTTTGGGGCCCGCGGGCGGCCCAGGCGGTGGCCTCCTGCCTGGAGCTCTGCCGAGGCTGCCGGCGGGGTGGGGGGGGCTTCGCGGGGGCCTCTTGGGGCCAGCTCGGGGTCTTTGGGGCCCTTTTCTGGGGGAGGGCTCCCCCTCTTGGGCCTCTCCTGGGGGTCTCTGCGGGTTCCCCCTCCTCTTGAGCCTCTCTTGGGCCTCTCTTGGGGGCCTCTTCTGCGGGTCTCTGCGGGTTCCCTCTCTTGGGCCTCTCTTGAGCCTTTTCTGGGGTCTCTGCGGGTTACCCCTCCTCGGCCTCTCTTGGGGGCACATTCAGGTTTTTCTTTGCCGTCTCGGAGGCCTCGCGGGCCGTCTCGGCGCCCTCTCTGGCCGTCTCTGGGCCGTTTTGAGGGTCTCTTGGGCAGGTTTGGGCTAGTCTGGGGGGCCTCTTGGGCCGGCATGAGCGCGCAGACGCCACAGAGCCGAGAACGCGAAAATCATGCACAAACTACTGGGTTGTTTGACTCTTGAGGCCCTCTGGGGGGATCCTCTTGGTGCTTTCTTTCGGCGTCTTCGGCCGTCTTGCAACTATCCTGGTGTTCTTGAGGCCTCTCCGGCGTATTGGAGCTCTTCTGGAGCCATCTTAGAAATCATGTGGGGATCTTGGCGGCAACGGAGTGTGGATTTGCCAGGCTCCAGAGGCGCCAGTGGTGCGCTCTGGAGCCAGGAGACCCCACCCCACCTGGGGACCCCCTCACCCCTCAAACGCAATTTTGGTTTTTGGGTGAGGGGGAAAGGGGGAGGGGGACAGCCAACTGTCTTGCACGCCTGTTCACGCTGGCAAGCGGGTGTCGGCGGATTTTCATGTGATGTTTGTTTCTCCCTTACTCCTCCTCCTCCTCCTCCTCCTCCTCCTCCTCCTCCGCCTCCTCCGCCTCCTCCTCCTCCTCCTCCTCCTCCTCCTCCTCTCTCCTCCTCCTCCTCCTCCTCCTCCTCCTCCTCCTCTTACTCCACCTCCTCCCCCGCCTCCTCCGCCTCCTCAGCCTCCTCCGCCTCTTCTTCCTCTTTCGTCTCCTCCTCCTCCTCCTCCTCCTACTACTACTACTCCTCATTCCCACCCTCATTCTCTTCGACTGGCTGCCGGAGCGACGGCTAGCGGCCTCAGGCATCTCCCTCCCTTCCTCCTCCTTCGTTCTTTCAGGCGGCGCCGACTTCCTGGCCTTCTGGGATCATTCGAAGGGGCGCGAAAATCATAGCGTTTTGCGCATTGCTGCCTGGGCCAAGAGAGTGGTTGTGATCTCCGTGAGGCCATCCTCTTCCTCCTTCTCTCCTTTTCTCCTCCTCATTTTCCTCATCCTCCTCCTCCTCATCCTTCTCCCCCTTCTTACGCTAGCCCAACTTAAGGATCTAGCCAGTAGCGTTGTTGAGCGACTGTGAAAAATGAGAAAGTACGTTTCGGTGCACAGGTACCTGGCGGGCGCCGCAGAAACGAGTGTAAGGACAGAACAGCGGCAACATGTAGAACAGTTGGTAGGCGCCCGCTAGATACAGGAAGCAAAATACACCGTAGTAGGTCACAGACAAACCTAACATGGAACCATCAACAATACCAATTGGTAGAAATTGCTTCCGTGCGAAAGCATCAGGTAAATGGGAACTGCTGGTGCTAAGAGCATATTGTAGGCTGGCCAGAGATGTTCGCTGGCCTGCTGAAGTGGTACTCATGTCACTATGTCTTTCCTCTGGGTCAGGAGCACAGTGACTGGACAGGAGCAGATGTAAGTTGGCCATGGGTGTTTGCTGGCCTTGGTGGTGCTAAACAAGGTGTGCGGTTATGCTGGGAATGTCTAAGAGTTGAAGTGACGCTGGTTGGCGCTGCTCCCCCCCCCAATAGTCCCAACTCCAGTACCACCTCCACGTTAGAGTCAGGCGCCCAAAAGTTAGCAAGTGAACAGGTGCCTGCCTAGTACGTGTAATTCTTGGGCTGCTACCCTTAAAAAGTGCTGCGTGTGCTGGAGCAGTCCAATTTCTCACTGCGTGGAGCTCCCCATATGTGCATCTCATGTTTTATGGCATGCCATAGTGAGCGTCTGTTCATGAGCGTTTGACTATCATAGCGCGTCCACATGGGCGACAGGGCCGACGAAGACGGGTGAATCCTAATGCGAGCGAGTGGGTATGAGCCAGAGTGAGCTTTGAGTATGATTGAATGTGAGCCTCCCATTCATTCTCCCTCCTCAGCTGCCAGGCCGTGCCCTCCACAGCCTGTGGTAATGTGCATATGTTTTAGGATAGTCGGCAGTGGGATCTGTAAAAAGAGCGCTTCGCCACACAAGGCCATATGTGCATATTAATTGTAGGATAGTGCCACGGCGAGCATGTGTCCATGATAGTTGTTCGCTCCACGGGCGCGCCCATATGAGCGGCGAGCACACGCGCGCGCAGCGCGGCTGCACATCCACCACGCGCACGCATTCATTAACATGCATATGCCCGCGCATCTTCTTTTTGCCAGGGCAAAGAATTCCTTCGGCGCCGCGTCCGAAGCACCAGGGGGAGCACAAATGACAGGCGCTTCAAACTGCACCTCGCGACCTGCGCCTCAGCGGGCCTAGCTGGCAACGCAAACAGAAGTCGCAGGTACATGACGTGCGAAAGGCACGCGCTGCAATTGGCACCCTCGCGGTTTGCGCCTCGGCTTTGGCCGTCCGCACTTGGCATCGGGCCTAGCTGGCAGCGCAAAAAGAAACCTTCTGCACTTGGCATCGGGGCGTAGAGCCAGAGGCACGACGCGAACCACCACGTCTGTGACTTCATATCTGCCAGCTGTGCCATGTCGGACTCTTGGTCGCCCCCCTTCCGCGATATCCCGCGAGTCGCCCAGCGCCCCGTTGACGCCGTAGCCTTCGTTCGCAGCCGCGCTGGAATAACAACCGTGCCCTTCCAGCACCTGGATATGGTTATCGATCGTCTCGTAAACGGCACCGTCACCCAGCAATTGAGATACGGCCGCCTCTGTCTCCGCGGGCGACAGGCCCAACTCCGCTGCTGCGAAGGTGCCCAGATCTGCGCAATTTGCTCCGACAGCCGAAGCTCCGCCCACGGAAGCCAGCCATGCCAGAAGGCTGTCGAGCGCCCGAGCAAAACCCGCGACTGCGCTGGCAGCGGCAGCGCTTGCCCCCGAGGACGTCGCAGCGGTCGAACCTTGATATGCACTCCCTGGCGCCGGTTCCTAGAGCAATTCGCAGGAATACCTGTCGAATGTCGGCGGAACCGCGCCCAGCGCCTTGGAGACCTCGCTGTCTCCCCCCCGTCCGCGGCGCCGTGCTAAGCATGGGCGCCCCCGACCGAAGAAGCGAGACTGCGCTCAGTGAATATAGAGATGCCGAGCCCGATGGGCGACCCCCGCTTCGAGCAAAGACTGCGTCAATGATGATTCCTACCGGACTACGTTTCGACGGGATAAGGATGCTCGATGCGTTTCACAGGCTAAGAGTTCTCGTGGCGCCGCGCCCAAAGCACCCAAGGAGCAGCGCTAAAGGCAAGTGCTACAAATGGTACCGTTGCGGTTTGCGCCTCGGCTCTGGCCGCCCGCACTCGGCATCGGGCTTCGAAGACCGGCGCGGGCTCTCGAAGTTCAACGCCCGCGCAAACAAACAGCCGTCTGCACTGGGCGTCGGGCTTTGCAGTGCAAGGCAAGCGGCAGAGGGATCTTGGCCGCGAACGGGCCCGTGCCCTACCCCCTGGCGGCTCTCCTTAGGGAGGCTGAAAACAGCGCCCCGCCTGAGACATCCTCAAAATCTGCTGTGAAAGCCAAGGATGCCGGGCATGAAAACGAGCAAACCGCCTGAAACATCCCCACAAACTGGCCGCGAACGGGCCCGCGCCCTACCCCCTGGCGGCTCCTTTGAAGGGTGCTGAAACCAGCGCCCCGCTTGAGACATCCTCAAAATCTGCTCCGAAAACCAAAGATGTTGGGCATGAAAACCAGCAAACCGCTCGAGACATCCCCACACATTGGTCGCGAACGGGCGCGTGAAAACACCCCTGGCGGCTCCCGCTCGGGGCTCTGAAACCAGCGCCCCGCCTGAGACATCTTCAAAATTTGCTTTGAAAGCAAAGGATGTTGGGCATGGAAACGAGCAAACCGCTTGAGACATCCCCACAAACTGGCCGCGAACGGGCCCGTGAAAACACCCTTGGCGGCTCCCTTTAGGGGTGCTGAGAAGAGAAGCCCCCGCGCGCAAGCCGCCGCGGACCCGAAGAGAAGCGCCCCGCTCATCGACTGTAAGGTTTCTGCGTCGCACATGTTTGCCATGCCATTTCACATATTTATTGGATGCATGTGGGTATGGGTGCACAGTGTACGCAACATGTGGGTGCGACGTGTGCAGCAGTGTGCTGACGACGACTGTCCACAATTATAGCGATGGCGGGAGCGACTGACGCTCCCAAATTAATACCGGCCTTCCGGATGCATCGGCTTGCCCCCGGCCGTCGCGGCAGGCAGGGGGAGGGCTCGGCCTCGGCCAAAACAGTAAATGCCGCAGACTGGGCCACCCGCATTTGCAAGCAGCCTGGTGGTCCCACTCGCCTTTGCACGCCCTCGGGCGGGAGGGCACGGGATCCGCTTCGAATTCGACATACGTATCGACAGAGTAGGGTGTATCAGGACACTGTGCGTGTAAGTACGATGAACGTGCAGAGCTTGGATTGGACTCGTCTGGCAACCCGGGACAAACTCAGAGACCTCATTGAGTTCTCTCGGGCACAACGGTGGATGATCACAGGGCTAATTGAGATGCACAATGGCACACCGCATGGAGAGGTGGAGTACATGTTTTTCGATGAGTACATGTGGGTTGCAGTAGAGCAGTGCGCAGTGCAAATGTTAACATGGGTGCAAACAGCATGGAGGAAGGGAGGGTGTAAGAAAATGACATGTAGTGGGCGCAATACTGTTCTTTATCTGGATTTCTCTACTCATGCGTTGGCGCTGGGGGTTACGTATCTCTCTCCGACTGCACCGGCTGCCGAGAAAGCAGAACAGAGAAGACAAGTCAGAGACTTGACACGATCTGCGGGGGAGAAGTGGGAGTGTCCATTATTGTGGACGGGGGATTGGAATGCACATTGCGGGGTCGATCGCAACGCGAACCGGTCTATTGCAGGGGGCAATCTTCTGGAAACGCCTACGACTCCAGTGGGCAGGGCTGTCTTGGACATGTTTGACACGTGCGGTTTAATACACATCGACAGCATGTATCGCATAGCACAACGGGGTACATGGAGACACGCACAGTCTGGGGCTTGGCACGAGAATGATTTCTTTGCTGGGACATCCACGGGCAGGAAGAAAGTGCTGGGCATCAGGGCCCTCACGGTACCATTCTCCGACCAACGTGCCAAAGTGGCCACGGTTTCTCTGCGTGCGGGGATTGGCGCGCGAGCACGAGAACAGCGCAAAGCACGATTCTTGTCATTGCAGGAAAAGGAAACCGCCCTCCCCGTCCCTTTGCGTGCGAATCGGTTGCTGGGGCCCTCGGCTGGCGCCAAGCAGACAAGGCGAGAGTACGGAAGTCACATTCGCACTGCCCTGGGGGTCGCTCCACTTCCGGAGGAGATCGAGCCTCGTCCAACCCCTGGGTCTACGTCGCACACTGCGTGGCACATATACACAGATGGTTCCCATGAACCGAAGGACCCGAACGCTATTGCAGGCTGGGGTGTGGTGGTATTTGCTCCAGGTACTGCCCCACAGAGTTTCTCCGGCAGCGCGTCGACTGATCAGGAGGAGGGGCGGTGGGAAGGAGCGGAGGACCAAACAAACAACACTGGGGAATACACGGGACTCTTACGGGCGATGCAATATTGTGTAGATCGTATCTCTCCGACAATGCTCACCGAGGGGCAGCGGGTTTACGTTCACTACGACTCCCAACTTGCCGCTGGAGCTGCAACAGGGTCGACGGCAGCGCGCAGACACGCGGTGCTCGCGGCTGTCTTGGAAGATGCTTTTCGCACAGCCTCGGCAGGCCTCCCACTCAGTTTGCATTGGGTTCATGGTCACACTGATGTCCACGGCAACGAACTGGCCGACGAAGCTGCCGAACAGGGAGCTCGCGGAGTCTATCGTTTCTGGCCCAGGGCGGACGCCAGCATCTCTGCTTCGCGTTCCAGGGCGCTCTCCCATGGACACACAGAGCCGGCCAAGGAGTACGAGCGCCACCAACCTCGCACGTGGGAGGCTCTGTCTTCTCTCATGCGCACTGCAGCAGAACAGACAGTGGGCAGAGGGCGAGATGAGACTGTGGGTGTGCCGTACCTTCCTCGTGACTTGGATATGGTTCGCCACAAGAAGAAGCTGGTCGCCGAGGCCTGGCAGGGGGTCGTGGACGCTCCGGGGCCCGTCGAGATGCGCTCGGCCAAGGCTGCGCACGAGGCTGCCAAGACGGCGCTGTCCCGCTTCAAATACAGAGTTCGCGCCCGACGGGTTCGCGACCGCATTCGGGGGCTGGAGCAGGCCGCTGGCCAGAGCGATCTCGGAGCCATCAACTCCATCATGGCCTCCATGGGCTTGGCAGACGAGGTGGGGCACGACCGGCGAGCCGGGCAGGGTTTCACCGTCGAGGAGGCCAAGGGCCAGGTCTGCAAACTTGGCGAGTCACCCGTCGAGGCATCGATCGACGTGCGCACGCACATACAACCACGACCGACCGATGAGAGGCTGGGCTGGCGCCCTGCTGCGCATGAAGTGCGGAACGCCTTGCTGGGCATGAAACAAAGTGCAGCCGGCACCGACGAGATCTCCAAGATTCTCTTGACCGCCGGTGGCCTTGAGCTCCTCTACGAGTTCAGCGTGGTCGTGCAGCACATGTGGGACCAACCCCCAGATCAGTGGCGCCATCTTGCACACGAGGTGTACGGCGTCATGCTCTTCAAGGGCAAAAGGAGCCGTGCCGATGTGACGAAGTATCGGCGCATCATGATTATATCACCAGTTGCCCGGGTTATTGCCCGCATCATAGCACAGCGACTGGCTGCATTTGCCGAGCGGGAGGACAGACTCCTCAGCAATCAGTACGGCTTCCGGCGGCATCGTTCGGTCCTTGGTCCCATCATGGTTCTCACGATCCTCCTGGAGATGGCAGCAGATGCGCCCCCGTCTGACGATGAACGCCTCATGGCTATTTTCGCGGATATCGAGAAAGCGTATCCGAGCACTGTGCGTGATGTGTGTTTTGAATCTCTCAAAGTGCTCGGGGTTCCTGACCGTGCTCTACATCTTCTGGAGTCGCTGCAGAGCCTGGCATTGTATCGCATCGGAGGGAAGGAGGGGTACTCATCCTCATTCCGGGTCTTCCGTGGTCTCAAGGAAGGGTGCCCTGCCAGCCCGGTCACTTTCAACTTGTTGCGCTCACAGATCATACGGCATTTTGAACAGGAGGCAGGACAGGCGGGCTTAGGCGTAACCGTGGCTGACACCACCGAGACGCTACACTATCGCCGGCGTAGACGCCAGCAGGGGCCGCCTCCTGAGTCCACCACGCGCCGGCTGATCACCCTGCTGTTTGCTGATGATACGAACATTCTCACTCGCTTCCGTGACCAGCGACGGGCGGAAGAACTGCTGGAACGTATTCTGCTGGAGTGGGGCCTCAAGGTGAACCAGACCAAGTGCGAGCGACTGATGAACGGCACCGACCATGGACAAAACGCTTCTGCTCGCTTTCTCGGTGCAATGCGCCGGGGTGACGGCGACTACGGCACGGACACCACCACGCGCTTCAACAAGGCGAAGGTTGCGTGGAACAAGATGTTCAAGCGCATGCCGGAGTGGGGGTTATCCGACAAGTTATTGGGGCAGTTCATACAAGCAACGGTGCTGAACACGTTCATCTTTGGGTGCGAGGTCCGCCCGTTCTCGGCCAAGGAGCTCCGCTCTTACGAGGTTTTCTGGAATCGGGTCGTGCGCGGGACGTGCCGACAGAAGATTCGGGAGATGCACGACGATCATGTTACGATGGAGGATTTGCGGCGACGGCTGGGAGTACCTACAGTCAAGACGGTCATCGAACTACGACAACTCAAGTGGTTGGGTAACGTAGCACAACTCCCAGCAGAGCGCTTAGAACGACAGGCGCTGTCGTGGATCTTAGCTCCAGAGTGCACTCTTCCATCCCGAAGTGGACACAGACAGGCCCTACGCCCCTACTACGCTCGTCTGCTTCGCTCAGTCCGGTCGCTCGTCGACGAGCCTCTTCGTGCAGCTTGGCCCGCAGCCTGGGTCGAAGTGGCCGGCGCTCGCGGCACGTGGCGCGCCCTCTGCAAGGCCCGCCGGAAGGAGCTCGATAAGGTGGCCCAGGGCGCTACCTGGGAGGAGAAACACCGACGGCTCGACCGGGAAGCGTCGACCAGAGCAGCACGACGCACTACAGTGGAGGGCATTGTCCTGGACGAGCGTGGAGTGGGTAAATGTCCACATTGTGAGGCTGAGTACGTGAAAGCCGGTCTTCTGTCACATGTACACCAGTGTGCGCGCAAGACTCCTGAGCAACGGGCGTACACGGCATCTCAGAGACGGAAACGCTTGGAACAGATGCAGGCACACGCTGCTCAACCAGTTGGCGGCCCTGTGGCTGGGGCACACAATCCGCCCCGAGCGCCCCCTCCAGCACAACCGCTGCCCGACGCCGACCCCGCCAGGCTGGCCGCGCGGAGCGCTCTCCGACAGGCCGTCCGGGAGCACGTGGGACAGGCGAAAGCGGTCCAACAGGCCAGGGCCAAAAACGATTCGGCTGCTTCTTCCGACGGAGCCCGGCCTTGGGAGGGACGCATCCAATTCAGCAAATCTGCCGCTTACCGACACCGGCTCGCTGCTACATTACAACAGGAGGAGGGGGGAGCGGGATGAGGCGAAGGAGGAGGTGATGGAGGACCTGTATCAGCACCCGCAGTTGCTCAGCCCCCAATACCACCGCCGCCAGCTCCGCACCCAGTACAACGCCGTCTACGAGGCAAACAACGACCAGCGCTGGCTGTTCCGGCGGCGCCGCCTCCGCCCCCTCCATTGCGACTCGCGCAACGACGCCCGGCATGTGCAGCTCCGAAGGGCCACCGGACCATGGTCCCGACTACGAACATGGGGCGGGCAGGACCGCCTGGAGGGTTCGGGAAGCCTGCGGCGCGTCAGTGGCTACAGGAGTTTACTGCCCAAAATCCGGTTCCTGCGAGCCATGTTGAACGAGGATGCAACGGCCAATGTGGGTATTCCAAAGATTGCGTACGCTGTCAATTGAAGACGTGCTTTGGGGGTACATACATGGATTGGGGCTGCAGCTACTGTCGGAAATGCACCAAATGTGTGGCGGCAGGAAACGACACCCTGTGGGATACGTACACGCGAGCCCGGGTCGCTCCGAAGGCACACCGTCCTCCGTGCTTATCCGATTTTCCTGCGCCGCCTTTTCCTGCCGATCACGACCCTCTTCGTTGTCCATGGTGTGACGACAAGTTCCCAAAAGCTTTCAAGACAGTGCAGCACACCAAAATCTGTTCCAGGATGCCGTTGTTTTTGTTTGTCGCACGAACGAGATCCCTCCAGCCGGGGGAGGCCGAGTTACCCGAGAAGTGCAGCCATTGCGGCACAGGATTCGAGGCCCCCCGGTCCCGTGCCAATCATGAAAGGCACTGTGTGGAGAGGTTCCGCCGGGCCGGCCGGCCCATCAACTCAGGACAGAGATTTTCTACAACGACCGCTGATGCACGGTTGCCTGAAGGCTACAGCCTTCCTCAACATCCTGCTCCACCACCACAGTAGCGGTCTTCAACATTAGCATGTGCAGACTGTGCAGACCTACTCACGGCAGCATGTGCAGACTGTGCAGACCTACTTGACGCTAGCATCTTGACATGTCATGCAGGAGGAGATGAAGGATGAGGAGGGTAATCGGTATGGGACGTGGGGAGGGCACAACAATTGGAGGGCACAACAAATGGCAATACCATGCAATCGATATGCGGATGTGGGTGCAACAGTGGGCAATTACAGTCTTGGGAAGTGCTCCGTAGCGGTGATGGCTCCAACATTGGCTCAAGGTGTGGTCGCGTCGGGCTGTCGTCCCCCAAGGCGTGGCACAGCGCTCTGGGTTAGCATGTACAGACTGCGCAGACCTACTCACGGCAGCATGTGCAGACTGTGCAGACCCCCCAACGCCCAGAGCACCACAGCGCAGGACATCTTGCTGTTCTTACGTTGCACACCACATCGCGTACTTCAGCATTATGTTGTTCATGTTGCACACCACATGCTGAATCTTGCCGCCCGGCACGCAGGAGTTCGATATTACGGTCCTGGGAAGTGTTCCGTAGCGGTGATGGCACCAACCCTGGCTCAAGGTGTGGTCGTGTCGGGCTGTCGTCCCCCGGGCGTGGCACAGCGCTCTGGGTTAGCATGTGCAGACTACGCAGACCTACTCACGGCAGCATGTGCAGACTGTGCAGACACCACAACGCCCAGAGCACCACAGCGTAGGACATAGAATCACATATTCAATGTTAGCATGTGCAGACTGCGCAGACCTACTCACGGCAGTATGTGCAGAAGGCAGAATTTCGAGATTGAACAGACATGCCGGGCATCTCTTGGGGCATGCGTTGCGTTGGACAGCCAATTTATCCGTCCTGCCTGAAATGGTTGTGACCGGTCAGACACTGGAGATATACGAAATACCCCAGAGATTGTATCATCGAAGGGTGTCCGTACGCCCGTCAGGCTCAAGACGGCCATCGTCAAATCCCTCGCGGCTTCCACACCTCATACGGCCACTGCGCTGCACGTGATGGACGCCCTCGCCCAGATGGTGGCCGACAAGAAGCGCGGCGCGGCGGCGTCCCAGGGGGCCAGACCAGACAGCCCTTCCAAGAAGGGCAAGACTAAGGGCAAGGGCAAGGGCAAGCCCAAGACGGACAGCGCGGACGCGGTCTTGACTTGCCTGGTGCGCGACCACCTGCACATGAGGAATGACGTGGGCAACCTGAAGGCGGCCGCCAACCTGATGATCATCGTGCTGTGCAACACGTTGAAGGTGGAGATCGACGCGTCCGCCAAGGTGTGGACGGACAACATGTCGCAGGACGACTCAGCCCACCCGCTTGGATGCGGAAAGCGCACGGTGATATTCGGTGCCCTCCTGAGCATCTTCGGCAACTTGGAGGAGGGCGCGGACGAATCGCAGAAGGCCGCGGCGGGGTCGCTCAAGCGCCTGTCGCCCTCCCAGATGGACGCGTTCGTGGCCGGATGCAAGTCCCGGCACAACAAGTACGACGAGAAGCGCCCATGGATCTTCACCCTGTCCGTGCGCCCGGGCGTGGACTCCGACCAGCGCAAGAACGTGCACGCGCTCGTCGGCATCAACGCGCAGAAGAAGATCCGGGTGGTGCACGAGGCGCCGCGCCAGGGCCCCGAGGCGGAGGAGCTGTGGGAGTGGCTCAAGAAGCAGTAGATGGCCCTGCTCTGTCGTGTGCGTGGCATGACGTCCCCCTGCCGCTCCCCCTTCCGCTTCCCTCGCTCCCAGACGTCACGCGCAATTCTTCCAGGAATTCATGGAGCCTACGTCAATGCATCAATTTGTATATCGGCCGTGCATCGTGGCTGTGCGAGAGGCACTCGACGGGGCTGTGGCTACGTACAGTTGGCGGGGGTGGGATCTCTACACATATTCAGTTCTGGGACCGTTGCCATTAAGTTGTGCACCGGCGTGCCACAGTGATATGTTGTGATGCCCATTCGTCGTGCATGATTTTTTACATCACGTTCGACGGGGTTGTCTTCCTCGATGTCTGACGAAGAGCTGGCACTATACCTCGGGACGTGATCGAAGCGGAGGCACCCGCCTACCCCGCCACGCACGCCCCCGGGCGGAAGGCGAGGAGGCGGGCGAGGGCGCTCGGACAAGGCGGCCCCGGCCGCGCCCCGACGTCACGCGACAGCCACAATTTTCTACTACGAGTGGGCGTCCGGTGCCCCTGCACCACCGGGCGTTGCTTGTGAGACGATTACGGAGTGCGCCCGGTCCCCCGGGAACAACAGTGGTCAATTCCAACCAAGTGCATTTGCGTGTACACTCACATCTTGCTGTTTTTGGCGTTGCACACCACATCGTGTACTTCAGCATTATGTCGTTCATGTTGCACACCACATGTTGTATCGTGCCGCCCGGTACGCAGGGGTTCTGAAACCAGCGCCCCGCTTGAGACATCTTCACAATCTGCTCTGAAAGCAAAGGGTGTTGGGCATGAAAACGAGCAAAGCGCTTGAGACATCCCCACAAATTGGCCGCGAACGGGCCCGTGAAAACACCCCTGGCGGTTCCCTTTAGGGGCGCTGAAACCAGCGCCCCGCCTGAGGCATCCTCACAATCTGATTTGGAAGCAAAGGATGTTGGGCATGAAAACGGGCAAACCGCCTGAGACATCCCCACAAACTGGCCGCGAACGGGCCCGTGAAAACACCCTTGGCGGCTCCCCTCAGGGGTGCTGAAACCAGCGCTCCGCTTGAGACATCTTCACAATCTGCTCTGAAAGCAAAGGGTGTTGGGCATGAAAACGAGCAAAGCGCTTGAGACATCCCCACAAACTGGCCGCGAACGGGCCCGTGAAAACACCCTTGGCGGCTCCCCTTGCGAGTCTGAGTATGACTAGGTCTGAGTATGAGTAGGTCTCAGTCCGTGCGTTGAGTAACTCAGATTATGAGAATGTCTGAGTATGTGTAGGTCTGAGTATGAGTAAGTCTGTGTATGGGCAGGTCTGGGAACGAGTCTGGGTATTAGTAAATCTGGGTACGAAGGAGTCCCAGCATGAGTAAGTCTGAGTATGAGTAGGCCTGCATGTTGTGTGTTGAATAAGTCAGACCATGAGAAGGTGGTATGAGTATGAGTAAGTCGGGTAAGAGTAAGTCTATGTATGAGTAGGTGCGTTCTCTCTGGAGTCGGCGGCGTCCGAGTAATAACAAGAACCCCATCTTAGGATATGGGGAACAAAGAAGGTGGCCGAAACTGGTCGGTGAAGCCTCCTCAACCACCCCTATCTATAGTCCCAACCTTAGTACCACCTCCACGTTAGAGTCAGGCGTCCAAAATTAAGCAAGTGAACAGGTGCTTGCCCAGTATGTATGCAATTCTTGGGCTGCTACCCTGAAGGACACAGAATGTGTTGCTTATGCTGGAGCTGGCAAAGAAGGAATATGACCGACGCCGGTCGATGTTGCATCGCTTGGTGAATCATGGTTTCCTCCATCTCCGCCCCAACGAACACCTCCCAGTTCCCTCCATGATGTATAGTACAGCTGGCAGCGGACAAGATAGAATGGTGTCGCCACGCTAAGTATAGCAGCTCTAGGAGTGCTGCCCATGGTTTTTGGTTTACCCCAAGCCAGGAAAGCAGTATAGGAGGCAGGAGGCCAGAGGTAAAAGGTAAGACGAAGAGGAAGTGTGAGAGCTGAGCATGGTGAAGGCCGGCCTAGGTAGGTTGGCCTGTTAAACATATGTTGTGCAAGTTTGGCTCCGTAGATTCAGGGATAATTGTCAAGTGATTTGACAAAGTGTAGCAGTTCTTGGGTTGCTGCCCTAGGTTTTTGGGGCTTACCCCAAACCTAATTGTTCCCAGGGCCCTCGTGCATTTGCTTTGTGCAATTCTTCTTGGGCTTAGCACGAACCCCTTGTGTCAACTGTATGGTTAAGGCTGGCCTCAAGGCTGGCCTGTGCCTAACTTGGTGCAGTAGGCTACCTACATTCCTCCTCCTCCTCCTCCTCCTCCTTCTCCTCCTCCTCCTCCTCCTCCTCCTCCTCCTCCTCCTCCTCCTCCTTACCCTCCTCCTTACCCTCCTCCTCCTCCTCCGCCTCCTCCTCCTCCTCCTCCTCCTCCTTACCCTCCTCCCGCCCCCCTCCTCCCGCCCGCCTCGCCGCTCCCGCCGTGGCCTCCTCACCGACACGGGGGCCTCCTGCCCAGACGGGGCCAGGGGGCGGGCGGCTCAGGGACGAGGAGGCGCAGGTCGCCTTCGGCGTACCGGCGGGCGCGCTGGGGGGCCACGCCTTCCACACCTACACCCTGCAGGAGCGCCCTCGTCCCCGCGCTGGCCCTCCCCCAGACCTCCTCGCGCCGCGGAAGAACAGCATGGCGAAAGGTTCTTCGCCTCCTCGGGAAGAGCAAGACGACAGGTGTTTCGCCGCCTCGACGAAAGAATCACGACGAGATCACGGCGTTTCGGCCTCTGGGGGCCCCTCCTCGGGCCTCGGGACCGTCAGAGGACGGCTCGGGATGAGAAAACGGTCCCGGAGGAGGAGGAGGAGGAGGAGGAGGAGGAGGAGGAGGAGGAGGAGGAGGAGGAGGAGGAAGGAGGAGGAGGAGGAGGAGGAGGAGGGAGGGGTCCAGACTTCTGGGGGTCGACGTTGGTGTGAAGAGATCATGACGTCGGCGGTCTGGGCCCCTCGCTCGCGCATCGGGGGGAGAAAGGAGACTGCAAAGGGCATGCGGCATGCGCCAATGTTCGGTCGCCTGGCGACGAGCCTCCCTGCATCCTTCCGCCCCCATCGAAGGAAGAAACGGCATGAGCATGAGCCCGCGCCCTCGTCCTGCAGCCCTCCTCGAAATGTTGGTCGACGCGCGAGACGCGGCGGTCCGATGTGTGTATGTGGTGTGTGTGTGTGTGTGCGTTTACGGTCGCCAGCGTCGGCGCGAATATCGAAAGTTTGGGATCCTGGGGCGCCCTCACGTCGCGGGACAAATTTGCGTTTGATTTCGAGGATGGATGTGGCCCTCCCCTCTTTCTCGCATCGGGGGAGAAAAGAGACGGCAACGCACACGCAAACGTTCAGTAGCTTGGCGAAGGCCTCCTGCATTCACACTCCCCTCGGAGAAGACGAAGAGGAAGAATAAGATTAAGAAAAAGAAGGAGAAGAAGGTGAAGACCGGCACGAACATAAACTGTCGGACGTCGGAGTAGATTTGGAGTCGAAGTAGAAGGGGGATAGCGATTCGACTCAATGTAAAGCCCGATTTTCTCGACGCCGACGGCGCCGATGCGTCGCCGATGCATCGCCGATGCATCGGCAATGCGGCGCGATCCTCCGACCCCATCTATTTCGACCCCGTTTGGGCGGCCTCCATTTTTTATTTCGCCGAAGGAGACAAGGATATGCGTAAACTTTGCCGGGCGTGGTCTTGCAGCCTGGCGTTTTCCCAAAAGTGAAAAGTGGTGTTCAACATGTGGGCGTCCTGTGTTTTCGCACAGATTCCATTTATGTGTTTTTTTTCTCTCTCTCTCTCTCTCTCTCTCTCTCGCTCTCGCTTTCTCTCTCTCTCTCTCTCTCTCCAACCCCCTTCCCGCATCAACTTACCGCGGGATTCTCGCTGCCGCGTGGGTTTGCTGAAGTCTCGCTGGGTGCGCGTCCGCAGGCGCGCCGGAAGCCCCGTGCGCAGGGTGGGGTTGCCAAGGTCCGCCCAGGGCCTCAAACATGGTGCGCTGCGTCCCTGAAGGGTGGGGAGCGCGTGGAGAGCCGCTGGGAGATAGCTGGAGCGAGCTTGGGATGGGTGCCACCCTGAGGCAACCCGGCTCGGTTCTGGGGCCCCGCACGTGCAGACTGGGAGGCAGAATGCTGTCAGCCGGGCCAGGTTGGGAATGATCAGCCACGCGCAAAGGGGGGTGGGGGGAGGAAGGAGAGCTTCTTAGAAGCACCCCTGCTTCTTAGAAGGCGCGGGCCTTACCTACAGATGTAAGAATTGCGCCTCCTAAGAAGCAGCCTCCTTCTAAGGAGCCCTCCCCCCTCCCTCCACCCCCTTGTGCGCGCCGCCAAGATGAGATCCGTGGAATGGGTATCGCCTTGAGGAGCACTTCTCGTGCGCGTCCCCAGCACGCAGGAGAGGAGGGGGCTGGGCAGGTCTGCCGCCACGGGCCGTGGCGCCCAGCAGCCTGGCGAAGAGAAGAGAAGAGAAGGACTGGGCACGTGGAGAGCGCGGGCCAGCAGAGAGGTGGTCCGCGCAGCTGCCCAGGCCGAGCAACCAGAGAACGGGGATCGGCACGCAGAGAGGGCGGGCCAAAGCTCGGGTCGGGCGAAAGGGGGGGATTGGGAAAGGGGGGGTTACGAAATTTGCTGCATGCAGCTGGTTTCGGCCCCACCGAGGGGCCCATTCCTCGATACATGGCCGCTCCCGGCGCCGGGAGGCGCCGGGAAAATCAGCTAAATGAGCTGATTCTCAAACTCCCCCTTTGCTATCCCCCCCTTTCGCCCGACCCGAAAAGCAAAGTCGGCCCTCGCACCTGCCCACCCCGAGTGCACTTCTTGCGCCTGCGGCTGGGCAGGGGGGGACTGCGCGGGGTATAGTAAAGCAAAACGGGGCGCGTTAGGCGAGTTCGGCCACCGTGCAGAGGGAGGGGGGAGGGCCCCGAGCACACGGAGAAATGGACTGGGCACGCGAGGAGCGCGGGCCTCAACACGTTGGCCAGGAC